CCCCCCCCCCCCCCACACACACACACCCCCCACACCAAAGGCCTTCCCGTTGTTTGGAGGATATTGGACACCAGAATCTTCTAAAGTTCTGCACTTGACTTGAAGTTGGGCCGGACAGAGGGGTGAACTTCATCTCTTCTTGTTGGGTTGGATTTGGTTTGATGACTGAATGTGAGGCTATTAGTCCAGGTTTTTATTTTGAAACAATAAACCTATCACTGTTCATCAGGACCCCCCCCCCCCCCCCCCCTTCCATCCTTCACCCAGCTGTACAGATGTTTAGGCTTTTTGCTTTTGTTTGTTTGTTGGGTTTTGGTTCTGATGGAGGCTTCAGGCCTAGCATTCCTTGAAGGAATGCCTATCGCCCGCCGCCTTGTCTCCTGAGCGACAGGTCAAACCTTAAAACCATCACATTCCTGCCAGATGTTACTGACAACGTGTTGTGAATGACTGTCAGCTACTACCACGCTAAACTTTAGTTCAGTTCTGTCAAACTCACTGAGCTGCTGCCATTTTTCTGTTAACTAGCTGCGGCAGCCATCTTGAAGTGGATGTGCGTCCAGGACTGTAACGAGTAGCACTTTAGCTCATTATGTGTACAACTGATTGAGTTACGGCCCTGTGTGTGTTGGCTGCGTCGGCCATCTTGGGTCAGGCTGACTCCAGTGATGTAAGGGAATGTTTAACTGAAAATCATCCAGTGGTTCAGGAGATATTTGGCTAACAATGCAGACACAGGCAAAAAATTCCCCTTCTATGGTGAGGGATAAGTAAGTTGTACTCACGATGCAGAGATGTAAATAATTCCCCAGCGTAGGGACCTGGAGGTATCAGCTGGTCGGAGACCTTCTGGATGACGCTGAAAACCACATCTTCCAAGCAAAGGACCACAAAGACCCTTAAAAAAAAAAACTTGTTTTCTTTTCGTGCCTGCTCGCCTCCTTCAGGGTCACTTCTCAGTCTGATTAATGGAAGAGACGTGTGTCTCCTGACTTGTGTGCCTCACCCTTCTGAATGAAACCAGCACCATGCTTTCATCATCACAATCATTCACTTGTCTCCTGCTTCAAACAGCATCCAGTCTGAGGTCAGCAGGGACCCCCCCCCCCACCACCACCACCACCTCCACCCTGTCATCCACTCATCATTTATTCACACACCAAGAGTTACATGTTCACCACCGTTAACTTATTGTAAGGGAACATCAGTGATGACATGCACACACTGCATGTGTTAATCTTTTGCGTCTTGCTGCAAAAAAAGGAGGTGAATCTGACCCTAGTCCTCTTCCTTCAGAAAGCCATAATTGAAAATGCATCCATTCATTATCTTTACCCTGTCTTCTTTTTTGGGTCATGGGGATCACTGGCATCCATATCCAGCAATGCACTGTGTGAGGGGGGGACACCCTGGACAGGTCTCCAGTCCATCACATGGACACATAGAGACAAACGAGACTATAATTAGTCATTTTTACAAACGCTGGGTTTTAAAATGTCGTCCTGCTTCCTTTAAGATTCTCATCAGTATTGCCTCTGGAAACAAAGAGCTCCAGGGATTAGACCGAGCCATAAAGGAAAGCAGAACCTGCACACAGAAAAGCACCTGCTGCTCATCTGGAGCAGCTGACTTCTATTGAATAACAGGGTTGTCTGTAGTTAAACAGTTTTAATGTTTCAGTCAAATCTGCGTCTGATGTTCAAAATGTTAAAAACAGACCAACAGGTTTCTGGATGTAATGTTTTTTGTGTTTTTTGGTGATTGTTGAAGGCCCTGTACCTACTCTGGATATCTTTTTTTTATGCACATTTTTTTTCTCTATTTATACATTTTTGTCCCGTTTTAAAAAGTGCTCAAATACCTGCACCACGAGAACGTTCACATTCAGCAAATCAAAATACGGAGAAAGAAATGACAGCGTGACTAAAACTGTGTTTTCTAAAACTGTTTTTTTTTTGGTGCTTTTTTTGATAACAAGTACATTTTAATTTGTTAAATTACACATTTCTTACTGGGTGCGTCTGGAGACTTGTTAGCAACTTAAAATTGTGAGAGCGTTTTATGACCAACGAGTCGTGCGGTTTCATTCTTATCAGCTTCTATTCAAAGTTCTCGCCCTTTGTTTGTCCATCCATCCATCCATCCATCCATCCATCCATCCATCCATCCATCCATCCATCCATCCATTATCTTTACCTGCTTCTTCATTTTTGGGTTGTGGGGGTCATTAGTGTCCATGTCCAGTCATCACTGTGTGAGAGACGGGGGACACCCTGGACAGGTCTCCAGTCCATCACAGGGACACATAGAGACAAACGAGACAAACATTCACTCTCTCACTCACACCTAGAGACAATTTAGAGTTACCAACGAGCCTGCAGGCTCAACCCCCCCCCCCCCCCCACCGCCCCCCAATCCAAACAGCTCCTTGGTTGTTTTGTTGTTAAGAGCAGAATATGTCATTACCAATTAGGAGCAATTTCTTTTAAACTGAGTTTTTACAAAGTTGAATTTCTCATCAAAATTTAAGTTTGGGTTTGGACAGGAGGTACGAACGCAACATCTTCAACAACAACAACAAAAAATCCCAGTTTAAAGTCATTCATTCAGGCCCTTGATCTGGGAAACAAGTGGTGTTTTAGTATATTCTAAGAGTGCCCTACTGGTTCCTGATTTATCTGACACTTCATGTGAGGTACCAAAGGCTGTCTGTTCTTTGAGCTCTCAGTTTCTGTCAGAGCCGAGGAAACGGCAAACTGGATCCACAAACTGTCAGTCTGCCTTCAATCAGTCCTCGACTTTGAAGCGATGCACTTTCACCCTCTTATCGGACGAGTGACGAGGTAAACCCTTTGACCGACGTATTCTGTTTATTTCTAAGGACCCACAGAACATGTTGGTTTCTAATGAGACTCTGTGGTTGTTGTTAAATGTGTTTGCACAGAAGAATGGTCCGTGTGCTGTTTTCCATACATGAACACGTTTCAGTAATAAAGGAAACATGAAGAGCAGTCGCATTTTGTCGTTTGTGTCTGGAGGAAGTGATGGAGAGGCCTGCTGCTTCCATCAGGCTGCTCTTACATAACGGCTCCAATAAACTGATTTGGGTCTGAGTGATGTATTAGTTTCCTGCTGTGCATCAAATGTGCCCCCTACTGGTCAACCAAGGATACTGCATGCTGTACAAGAAGGAAAAGAGTCCAATCCCTCCCTGGTGTCAGGGTGTAAACGTGTGTTGGGCGAGTCTGATTAAAAGTAAACATCATTTTTCAGTACGAGCAGGATGTTAATACCACGGACTGAGAGTTATTTGTTCAAACACAAGGCTTTCCTTTCACTTTGACATACATTCAGGCGTTCAGCAGCAAGCTTTCCACTCATTAACCCACAGCAGAGCAGATAAAAGCCAAGCTGCAGCCTGTCCAGTGTGACTCATTCATTAATGTCGTCGCACACTGGAAAAATGTGGCCTTTGTCCACTTTAGAACTCCAACACCAACCTACATGTTTTTTTTTTTTAATATATCGGCCCACATTTTACACAGTGTTGATTAATTAGTCACTATAAAAATAACCAAATAAAAAAAAAAACCACACTGTTTGAGGTGCAGATAAATAAACTTAAAGCCTTGAATGAATGCAAATCGTCCATCATCTTTCATGCTTTAGACCCAGATCATCTCAGTGTGTTGGTCACACCTTAAAACACAACATGCACTTTCATGTGCTGTATCATTTTAGAGTATGTGCTATAAATGACTCTCAGCTACTACCACAGCAAATTTTACCTCAACATCTACATAATTCACTGATTTAGAGCCACGTTTGTGTTATTAGGATCTGTTGGCTACGGCAGCCATATTACATTGGATTGACTCCAACAGTTGATCAGCTGTACATTTACATTCATCAAATAGTTTCTGACGGTTTAATTAAAATCCCTCCAGTGGTTCACAAGATATTTTGCCAACAGACAATCTCCAAGAATTAGTGCTACAGTTTTAGGCAAAGATTTTTTTACAAAGAGTTGTACTTTGAGTGTGTGTTGTGAATGACTCTCAGCTACAATGATACCAAATTCCTGTGCAATATTTACAAAAGTATTTGAATTTTTATATCTGAATTATATCTGATTTTTAAAAATAATTTTTGTGTTGAGTTCTCTTGAATTTGGTTGATTCCAAAGGTTATTAAGTTGTGTATCCAATGTTTATTTCCTACTTGTTATTTCTTAGATAGAGAACTTTACTAATTGGCTTTTATGTATGTGAATGTTCCTGTAAAGTGCCCTGAGACAACTTTGTTGTGATTTGGCGTTATATAAATAAACTGAATTGAACTGAATTGAACTTGTTTCAGTAAAGTCCACTGAAACGTTCACAAGATATTTTATTAACAGAAAATCAGTGTTAAACCTCATTAATGGAAAAATTTAAATAAAGATCTTGTGCAACCTGTTTGCAGTCAGTATATGTGCTGAAGATGACTCTCAGCAACTACACAAGTGGAGGTCAATATCTGTAACTATGACTAAAGTTGAGCCATTTTTGTGTTTTCTAAAGTCAGTTAGCTGTGGCAGCCATCTTGAATTGGGCTGTTTCCAAAACTCTTCAATTAAGTAAAAGCACAGACATAAGTACAGTGGAAAACAGATGCAAGTACTATACAAAACCGATACGAATACAATAAAAACAGATGCAAGTACTGTAAAAACAGTCAAATATTGTCCACTCAAAACATATATAACTACTGTAAAAACAGGTATAAATACTATGAAACAGATATAAGATTTATTACAAAACAAATAGGAGTACTATAAAACAGATGCAAGT